CAGCACATAAATTTGAAAAATGTCTCTGGGGATTCTCAGTCATCCAGGTCATAGTTGTCTCAAAAGTGTTTTTTTTTTTCAAAAGGCAGCTGGCCTCTTTTTTCCTTGAGGAAGAGGTTTTGCTTCTCATCTAAGAAGCTTCATCGGTTCACCAGTTGCCTTTTGAAAAAGATAAAATAATTAAATAAAGGTATAGATGCAGGTGTTAAGTCTGACTCTGCCCTGGTTAAGCAGGTTGGAGAAAATACAGCTTTTGCATGAATGTGGACTTCTTTGAAGAGGTGAAGAGGTGTGTTCATTTAACCAGTGAAAAAACATCCAACCAAATATTTTATTATCATTTTCAAATGAAAGAAAGGCGAATCGGAGGGGGGAAGGGTAATTTTTAACAGATCTTTGCAACTTCTTGCATTTTATATTGTATTTTAACCGGAGGGCGATATTTTAAGATTAGGTTTTTGTATACTTTTTTAAAGGGCTTGGGGGGAAAAAAATCAACAATTTCACCCACCTCACTGGGTGCAGGATACAAACCTTTTCTTCAGTTTCTCGGCTCTCCCTTGTCTTAGCAACTTTCTTGTTTTTCAGTGATGGTTCCAAAAGCATTCCTAAGATTCAGTTCCCTCTTGATTCTATCTCAACGGGCATCTTTGTTTAAAAAAACAACAGCTGGCTTCAAATTCTGATGCTTAAGGGGGGGGGGGGCAGTTTTCAGGTTTCGGAGACATTCCATTTCCCTCCTACCCAGACCTGAGAACGGGATTTCCCACTCTGCTGCCTTATTCAAGTAGGACTCCGGCAACCTGGGTTTTACTTCCAATTACATATATGAAGTGCAGTCCTATACAAAAAGAGGGATGGGGGAGGACTTCTAATTTATCCTGGATCTTTCCTTGTGCCTTCTCCTCCCTCTGCCCTTGTAAGTGTGGTCAGAATCGGTTCCTAGTTGGTCTAACCTGCAATGTGAGCATATAACTGTGGCAAAAGATTTGAATACAATCCACCTAACCCTGTTCTCTTTAAGTCACTATCTCGTTCCCTTTTCTTTCCCTGTTCCATGCTGGTTAGATTTTACTTATGATATTTTGAAGAGGCTATTTTGTTTTTGTTCTTCATTCTCTCGTTTCTCTCTCCTTTCTGCTTAAAATAGTGGACTCTTTGTTTTTGCAGCTGTTTTATCGACAACGCAGAGGAGAAGCAACCACATTAAAGGCTGTAAAGTTATGGCCAATGTCGGTTGTAATTCTTTTGTGCACAAGGGGGACGCCTCCAGATTTTTACTAACCAAATTCGGTAGAATACATGATGCTTGAGGTTGAGCCATCGGGCCAGGCTGTGTTTTATATTCCACAAATAGAGAGGTTTTGGAAAAGCAGCTGACATCTTGGGAGTTTCTGAACAAGGAAGCCTAACTGTTATGGGGCATAAGCCATGTTGCACAGCTTTTAAGAGCCATGATGGCACAGTGGTTAGAATGCAGCATTGCAGGCTAAGTCTGCCTACTGCNGCCACATGACCACAGAGAGGTCTTTGGACAGCGCTGGCTCTTCGGCTTTGAAACGGAGATGACCACTGCCCCCTAGAGTCGGGAACGACTAGCAGATATGTGCAAGGGGAACCTTTACCTTAAGTCAATTTCTATACTATTTTAACAGTAGCATTTTTCTAGAAAAGAAGTCTTTTAGTGGTGTTTCAGCTCCAGTTCACACAACACATTGAAGCAAGACAATGAAAGCCCTAGCACCATGATTGCAAACTTATGGCACGCCTGCCACAGGTGGCACACAGAGCCATTTCTGAGGGCACATGAAGTGTTGCCCTGTTAGATCCAGCATGCATGAGCACGCTGGCCAGCTGATTCTGGCCTTGATTTTAGACCATTTTTCGCCCTCCATACCCTTCAGGAAAGCCTCCTGAAGCCTCCGGAGGGAGAAAAACAGCCCAACACAGAAACTGGACGTACGAAGGCTTCAGTGAGGCACGGGGGGAGGGCATTGCATTATGGGTGTGGGCATGCCCGACCCCTCCCATGCTCCCCACGCTTTTGGCACGCCTCAACAAAATGGTTAGCCATCACCACCCTAGCAGGTTTAGTGTTAAATCTTGGTTACAGTTTTTAGTAGCATGTCATATCATGCACATTCGGTCCATTGGAATACTTTAGGAGTCAGTTTGGACTTAAAACCAGGTTAAATCATTAACCAGTTAAATGTGCTTTATGAGTAGACCAGAGCTCTCCTAATCCATCCCCACACACTCCTCCCGTATTTGGTTTGAAGAAATCGGTGGCCTCCTGGCATCAGAATATTTCAAACGCTTCAGATTTTTAAAAGAGAAAAAAATGTGTGTGAATATTGAATGGAAGTCTCATATCGGTCTTTCAACCATTCCCAAGACTTTTGTAGCAAGAGCCAAACATAGGAAGCGCATCCGTGAAAGAAATCCTGTTTCCTCCCAGCTGTTCTCTGGATATCGGGGCAGGATATTTTGCAGACAGGCTGTCTTGCACCCAGTTGCCTTCTGGAAATGGCGTGTCTTCCTTCCCATGGGGAAAAACCTTTCAACGCTCAGCTGATAACGCTACTGTCTGCTTACCGCAGGTGCAAGGTTGCATCTTGCCTTGCCAAATGGCGGCGTTTTGTAGATGAAGATGGGCAGCTAGCTTGCAGTGCTTCAACAGCAATGTTTAGGGGCCACTACACTCTGTTGCCATAGTACCCAGAACCTGCTGCCTTCTTCCTTCTCTCTGCGAATCCTTGTCCATTCGGATGACTGCCTCGGCCATCTGGACAAGGGACCAATTGCTCCCAAGATGCCCCTTGATTTGCTCCACTGGGGCGGGCTTTGGGTAGCCCGAGACATTAATTCAGCTACAGACACACATGCCTCCAATCTCTTCTTTGTTCTTTCTTGAAACTAAACTCACCGCAGTGGTCGAATTTCAGGTACATTTAAAATAAAAATAAAAATCGGAAGATTGCAAGGCATGTACAAGGGGGACAAGCTATCATCAGTTGATAATGAAAACTAAAAACTATCTGCACAAAGATGCAAAAAAAGGAAAATGCTTGTATATTTATGTCCTTTCAAATATATAGGGGTGGTTTTTTGTGGGGAAACTAGCAACTGAAAAGAGTATTATTTTGGCATTAGGAGCCCTTGCTGCTCTCTGAGCTTGATTGATTTCTTGCAGACATTTCATTACCCAACTAGGTAACATCATCAGTGCTAGAGGAGTGAGGAGGGTGGAAAGAAGGAGAAGGAAGACGATGGGGTCCTGGGTGCTCTCTGAGTTTGGTTGTTTTCTTGCAGACGTTTCATCACCCAACTAGGTAACATCATCAGTGCTAGAGGAGTGAGGAGGGTGGAAAGAAGGAGAAGGAAGACGATGGGGTCCTGGGTGCTCTCTGAGTTTGGTTGTTTTCTTGCAGACGTTTCATCACCCAACTAGGTAACATCATCAGTGCTACTGATGTTGTTATTAGCACTGATGATGTTACCTAATTTGAGTAATGAAACCTCTGCAAGAAAACAACCAAGCTCCGAGAGCACCATGATCCCTCAAGGAATATTTTGTATGTTCACCGCCTTGACTTACTTACAAGGTAATAAAGTTGCGATAACACACTATTTCATAAAGAATATTTAGATTTAATTTGTGCTTTGCTATGCTTTTGTGGCATAGGGCAGATAATAACCAAGGCCTTTGGAGGCAAAATAAAATGCAATTAAATCAAAATAAACATTTGTTTATCTGTGGTCACTTTGACAAAATATACTTAAAAGTTTCCCCCATTTTTGATTATATCTGGCAACAAAACGCCTGGGCAGGGAGAGAATGATTGGCACAGATTCTGCCTGTCGAGATATATAGTTGTGTGGAGACTTGAACAATATTAAGACCAACACAATTTAATCTCGGCAGTACTTAAAAGAACATAACCAGGGTTTGATACAATACAGGTAGTCCTCGACTTACGACCACAGTTGAGCCCAGAATTTATGTTGCTAAGTGAGAAACGTGCCAAGCGAGTTTTGCCCCATTTCACGACTTTTCTTGCCACATATGTTAAGTGAATCACTGCAGTTGTTCAATTAGTAACACAGTAGTTAAGGGAATCTGGCTTCCCCATTTTCTTGGCTTGTCAGAAAGTCTCAAAAGGAGATCAGCTGACCCCCGGGACCCTGCATCCGAATGTAAATTAAGTGTGTTGCTTCAGTCGTAAGTGTGGAAAATGGTCGTAAGTCGCTTTTTTTCAGCGACATCACAACTTTGAATGGTTACTAAATAACAGTATACAACAAACTGTCCTAAGTCGAGGACCCCCTGTATAAAGTATATCAGTGATGGCTAACATTTTTGTCATCGCATGCCGAAAGCCTCCCTGCAGCCTCCTGGGATCAAAAACAGGTCGCGGGGAGGGGGGCTGTGCTACCCCCCCCACATGCGTGCATGTCTCCCGCATGCGCCACGCTCCTGCGCATGCATGGCAGTGACCTGAAAATCAGCTGGATAGTGGGAGGCGCATGCACAATGGAGCTGAGCTGGGGCTACAGCTCGCATGCCCGCAGAGAGGGCTCTGCGTTCCGCCTGTGGCGCGCATGCCATAGGTTCGCCATCACGGACCTACATTATACCCCGAGGACATTTTTGCTCCGCTAATTTACCTGCTTTAACTTTTGCCTTCCTTCCCAGGTTCACAGCAAAGACAAAAAATACGTCTGCAAAGTCTGCAGCCGGGTGTTCATGTCCGCCGCCAGCGTGGGCATCAAGCACGGTTCCCGTCGCCACGGCGTGTGCACAGACTGTTCCGGTCACGGCATGGCTGGCCGCTTGGAAGCCGGTGGGGGAGACGGGTCCCCGGATGGATTGTTCGGCCCCGAGGGCCCTTACGCTGAAGACCCCGACGACCTCAAGGCGGAAGGAGACGAGGAGGAGGAAGACGACCTGAAATGGAAAGAGGAGATGGAGATTTCACAAGACGAGGCCATCTTGGAGAACGACAAAGATGGCGCTGACTCTGCCCCGGAGAACCCTGGGGAGGCCGAGAAGGATTTCGCTTGGATTTCTTAGGGATTTTGGGGGGGGGGGGTGTTTCCTGCCGGTTTGGGGATCGCACGGTGGAAAGAGCTGTATCAGGAAAGCTGCAGCAGCCTCGCGATTGTCCCCGTGTATAGAAATGTACTATGTGTGAGGACCTTTTTTTTTGGGGGGGGGGGGTGTCAAAGATAAATTCTCTGTCGGATTTTTGCATCAATAAGCATTTTCCCTCGATGCTGTCACTTCCTTCTCTTAAATCCTTCCAACCGTTTTAAAAATAGGAAAAGAAGAAAATAATATATATATATATATATATATTATTTTTTCCACGGTCAAACTTAACACAGAGAGAATATGTGCTTCTCCAACGGTAATTGTCAAAAAATGTTTGAAAATAACCACCCTCCCGCAGCAGGGGAACGTGGTATCAAGGTTACCGGTGGTAAACAAAACAGTGGGAGCGCTTGAGAGCCCAGCCGGAGAGAACAATAGGTCTGACCGCCTGCAGCAGCCTTCTCTAGAACTGTTGTCCTCTTTCCCTGAAGTGGGCTGATCAAAGGATTAATTTAGCCCACTGGCATTTGAATAACCTCAGGTTGCCTCCATTTATAACTTGCTTGCTAAATGAGGGCAGAGTGAGACACCCACGCCACAAACATGCCCCCTTGTGGCTGAGTCTCAAAAGAAAATTCCACTTTTCTGTCTTTGGATGTGTCTCTTTCTCGCTCGTTCAGGGACAGAGGCGATGTTGGAACCGAGCATCGTGGCCGCGTGAGGAACCAAAAGGTTTTCTTGGCCAAGCTCCGTTAAGAAATGGCTGGGTTGGGTTGTGGTTACTAAGCCACGCATCGAGTCACTACGTCGGCTGGGCCGATCTTTGCCGTTGGGTCCGAGGGGGGGGGGGGGCTGTACAGATTGTCTGTGGCACAGTCCCCTCTCAAGGCATGAGTTCTAATCAAGACCACATCAATATAGCAAGCATCATGAGCAGGAAAATTCCACTTGGTTTCCCAGCCTGGATAACAGATGTCTTTGACCGCCCTAAGGAAATCTCACATATTCCTCCAAAAGCAGGGGTGGGGGTTTGGGCAAACCGGTAGCTCCCACGATAAGCTGGGAGCGAACTGGTTTGCTCCAATGATCGGTTGCACACACCACCACCACCCGCTCTGTCCTTTCCTTTATTTCCTGCTTCAAGCTCAACTCAGCTGTTCTACTTACCATTGCTGACTTGGTAAGTAAGCAGCAGCTGAGCTTCTAAATGCTCCCATTTTCAGCACCGTGTGCGCAAAGCACATGCTCACAAAGCGCATGCTCACCGAACCGGTTGTTAAACCGGCAGCATCCCACCACTGTCCAAAGGCCTTAGTACCTCTTTACCTGGAGTTTTAGGATCTGCACATTTGGGGTAGCAACCTTCTGTATTTACACAAGACATTTCGTGTCCTTTCTTCTCTGTAATGATTGAATAGGATTTCTGACTACTTTTCTGGGACAGCTTTAAAAAGGTCGTTTGGCCAATAATGCTTGTTCTTTCATCTTTGCCTCCTGCACTGAAGCAGAAAAAGTGCATCTGAAAGCTCTTAGCTGCAGAACCTGCAGTTTCATTCCAAATACCGTGAGCCTCAAAACCACTATCTTAAAACTGACTTTAAAAAAAAAACAAGTTAGAGAGGTCAAACAGTTAAAGGTGCTCTGTGTGCGTGTGTGTGTGTGTGCGTGTGTGTGTAACAGGATCTGTGTATTGTCAGATCTGATAACCAAGGTAACATTTCATAATTTCTAAAGAGTAATATATCCTTTCCTTCTCTGGCACTTTTTCTAACTTTTGGAATCTCTGAATGTTTTAATAATGTAACCTAAGGAGTTGGGAACATCCTGGTTTCAGAGTTTTCTGTCATTTTCTCTATTGCTTTTCATTTGTAGCTTCTTCATAAGTCAGTGGAGGAGGGAGAAGTGTACAAGAATGAAAGACACCTGGCACGGTTAATCCTCCAGAAAGAATCGCCTGAATGTTTCTAAAAGAGAGAGAAAGTGAAAGAAAAGCATCATTTCCTAGTTAAAGAACTTCCTATGCAGGTTTGTAGAGGAGCACCCTTGGCTTAACCTACCAAAAACCAGTTAGAAAATGAGTGCCGAAGTGGCGCAGAATTGCAGGGGTTTGTACTTACGATTATTTTAAATTTATTTATTAAATTTGTACGCCGCCCATGGCTCTGCAAATGACTCTGGGCAGTTTATGATGTTACAAACAACTGAATAAAACAATCACAGAATTGGAACATTAAAACATCAAACCCTGACGCGTTAAAAGTAACATTAGATAAAAAGAACCAACGCATAGGTGGGATGGAGGCGAGAGATCTGTACCAGTCTACTTCCAAAACAGGATGCCCGTATCAGGGGCCCTACGTCAGTTGACAGAGCCAGATTTAAGGTAGCATTATCCACCCTGTGATCATGACAAGAAAATACATCCAGGCCTTATTGTATCAATGCAGTAATTTTGGTGTCTTACTTTGGGCTGGCCTTGAAACGCACCCTGCTTCAAACACTGCCTATACTTGTACGTCTATCTAATCTAACCGGAGATCGTGGAAAGACAGAAAATAACGGATTATTAAGAGCAATAGAATCATCTGCCTATGCTTCTATAGATTCTAGGAGGCTGCCCCAGGGACTGGATGGGCTCCATGCCAGGCATCCTGCAACTTAATTTGTAAGGCGGATTGTTTGTGTCTCCCCTAAAAGGGCTTGAAATCCAAAGAAAGGCGGGAGTAGCCGTCATGGCAGAAGCAGCTTTTCGGCGCTAAAAGGCTCCCTGTTTAAATTTTGCATTTCTCACTGGGGAGGTCCGATCAAAAATGACACCCCGGTTTGCACTAAGGAGCAGTTTCCCCCAAGCTGTATATTTTACCTATCTTCGTTTCATTACATATCACAGCTCCACTGTTTCCTTCTTCCTTTAGTGGAGCGGAGCTTGTACAGCAAAGAGAACCGAGAGGGCAATTTAAGAAACATGCTGTTCTGCTCATGTCTTTTTCCAATCTATCAGTTCTCACCTTTTCCCCATCATAGTTTTTATTTTCCCCACACTCCCCATTCGTTGGAGGGCTGCGATTTAAGCTACTCCTTTCTTGAAGTCAAAGAATGCATTTTATTGCCTGCATTGACCCAACATGCTTACCATAGTTACTGCATCAACTTGTTTTCTGAGTTTACAGAATAATTGAACCATAAACTAACCTAATAAGAGTTCAGACCACCTGCTAAGACACCAAAACCAAGGTTAAAAGTAACCAAGTTTAGCATCCAACCCCGAGACGAGCAGCACATAAATTTGAAAAATGTCTNGGAGATCAACAGGTAGCCAGTGCAGCTCGCGGAGGATAGGTGTTATGTGGGCGAACCGAGGTTCATCTCGTTGTGCCTCTTTTAAACATATTCCTTTGGAACTAATAGGATGTAGTCATGGCACTCAACCCACTTTCTCTGTGGCATCTGCTTCTGACACCCATCATGGTGCCAATTCCAAATCCATTAAGGCCTAAAGCATCTACATTATTCACCCTACCACTCCCCAGTTTCCATACGACACTTTAATCCATATAGGAGCAGAGTGCAAATTTTGGATGCCTAGAAGCATTAGTAGTAGTAGCAGTGATCTGAACCAGCATGATGATAAGGATGACTATATCTAATGGCCTTTAAAAGTCTTTATTTTTATTCAACAATTTCCTTCTTTGACAATAGAGCCAAGTTTGGACACACTGAAGCATACCAAGTGAAGTACTGTATAAATTACTTATAAAACCAGTATCACCAAGAAAACTTCAGTATTTGGAAGACCAAAGAGTGGAAGAGAGATGTTCCATCCATTGCTTTCTTGTTTTTTGTTGTTGTTTTTTGTGATGACATTTGTCTATCTTTTGCTAAGAGGGGGATCCATTTAGAGTGTTGTTAATTGTTGTTGTTAATTGCTAAGTTGTGTCTGACCCATCGCAACCCCAGGGTCTTTTAATTATCAATTACCAATTCAAGGTGTTTCAGAGTATTTCTCAGACAGTTGTCTGATAAAATGTTGAAACTGACCCTTTTCTTAAAATTTCTCAGTCTTCACAGAATTTCTTCTCAATGTTCTGTTTGGAGTGGAGGGTGCCACTTTTTCCATTCACATGGCTTCAAATACCAAAACATTTACTGTATTTTATTAAGGACTACCAGATCTGGGCTGGAGATCTCCAGAGAATCAAAAGATGTTAAGAAATGAAAATTTCTATTTATCTTCATTTATTGATTATCCGTATTTTTGAAGCCCAGATTTAGAAACTTAAGTTATTACTTATTGTCAGTGGTGGGATTCAATTTTTTTTACTACTGGTTCTGTGCGCATGGCTTAGTGGGCATGGCTTGGTGAGTGGGGCAGAGGAAGAATACTGTAAAATCACCATTCCCTCCCCACTTCAGGAGAAGTTTACTGTGAGATCCGCATTCCCTCCTGATCAGATGGGACTCGGGAGGCAGAGAATAGATGGGGACGGGGCCAGTCAGAGGTGGTATTTACCGGTTCTCCGACATGTTATTTATGTTATATGTTTATGCTCATTCTTTCCCTCCCCCTCCCATTTAAAATATTTATTTAGGCTTCTTAAATTTTTTACAGCATGTAATTATAACAATGTGGTACAAATAATAGGGGGAAATCATAAAACCAAGGTAGTGTTTGGTTTAGGGCATTAGATTAATTAATGATGGACTCAAGATTTAGATCCTTATACAACAACCCATTGAATTGCCTTGAATTAGGGCTATAAACTCTTATTCCCTCTCTTAAACTAAATTTCTGCACACAGTTGTTAAAATATAAAAACATTTCTGACTGCAAGGCCATAGTAAAGATTGAATTAAGTATGCAATCACAGGCGAGCACCCTGCATGCTGGAGAAAAGGGAAGGGTGGACTATGATAAACAGATCAATAAATGCAATTCACATAAAGCCAGTCTATTATTACAGTGGGGAAGTTAGGATGCTTAACAGAACTGAGCCGAACTGTGCAATACAAGGGATGTCCTTCCTGATAAACATTTGTAGGCTTCCTCTTCAGTGTTGTTCCACCTTAATTTCAAGAGATCTAATAAGTCTTTAAGTTCATGGGGCAGAAATACTACAGAAGTCTCTAGGAAGGATCTAACCTCTCAGTCTATGATAAAGGATTTGGATTTTTTTTCAATGTCTTTTAAAGGGGGGGGTGTTGTCATGGGTTCTTTGAAGTATACCCAAGTCAGAAGTCCCCAAAACACAATAATACATGTCCTGAGGCAACACCCATCCACATTCATAGACTAATATTACTATTCAGCCCTACTCTCCACTCTTTCCCACTGCTACTACTGCTCCTCCAACTACTACTCCTTGCAAGTCCTACTACTGGAGAAAAATACCTCTTTCCATCTGCTTCAGACTGCTTTGTTTCCATACACAACACAACACAACACCTTCCCTCTCGCCCAGAACAATAGCTCCCTCCTTAGCTGTCTCTCAGCATAACTTTTACAGCAAGGGCTGCCTGCTGGCTGGAGAGAGGGCTTAAACAGGCAGGCCAACAGCAGCACGTACAGTATGCACTTTACCATTAAGCTACAAATTCCCCCTCCCCTCTGTGTGTGTGTGTGTATAGACAAGGTATCAGCCCAGCATGTATTTTAAGCTGTTGTCCTTTAGTTAAAATAATGTTTTTACTTATTGATTAAAATTAAATGCCACCCATCCCACTAGCAGCTCACCGTACCATAGGTAATAGTATAAAGCAAAAAGGTTAAACATTGGGCATTTAATTATTAAAATGAACCAGAAAATGGACAAAGACAACCAATGCCTAGGTGAGAGGAGGTAGGATCTTCTGCTAACCACCAGAATGGGAAGCCACCATTGGGGGTCTAAAGTCAGTTGGCAAAGAAAGGTTTTCAGACCCTTTCAGAAGGCCAAAAAGTTTGGGCGGACCACACTTTGAGGGTGAATTAAATGGTTGGACTGACGATGCCACCATGTCATTTTTTTCCCCCTGCAATCATCCTACTATGTAGTAGGATTTACTATGTAGTAAATTTTATTTAAGATGAGGTAACGTGTATCATACCAAGGGTCCCTTCCCCAATGCACTATGAAGATCACTTTGTCTACTCCAGTGTTTCTCAACCCTGGTAGCTTTAAATGTGTAACACGCAGTGGTGCAATTCAATCGGTTCTAACCGGTTTGGGCAAACCGGTAGCAGTGGTGGTGGGAGGTTCCACCCACCCGCCTGGATGTCATCATGTCTCGTTTTTGACGCTCTATTCGTGCATGGAAGGTCCTGCATGCACGCTCACATCTGCAAACTGTTAGCGAAAGTACGTTGAGTTCAGCCCTGGTAACACACCTGAAATTTGCCACAGCTGAAAAACACTGGTCTACAGGTTTTGGAGGTAACAAAAGTGGAATCCAACCCACACCAGCACAGAAATGGCAGGCTTTTCACCTAGTTGTATTCTAGAGCAATATTTAGGACCACAATCTGCAACAACATCAGCATCAAAACTGGTCTTCAAACATGCAACCCAAACAAGTGATGTTTGTGCAGTTGAGATTTATTTGATTTTATTTCACAAAGTTTTTCCCACACCAAGGACAGAAAACTATTCTGCTACAGAAAACCATTAAAATCAAGTCATATATTGTATCTACTAGACGCCGCCACCACCACCACCAAGCACTGAGTAGACAATCTTGTTCCTGTTGTAGAGACGAAGAATGCTGTTTCAGTATATTCAGATATTTCCATCAATTCCGTTATTCCAGCCTTGGGGTCTCTTTGGTTTCAGGTGGAAATGAAGTGAGAGAAAGGGAAAGAATTACTAAATGAAATGAAAAGATATTTGCTGGGGTGATTATAGGAGGAGA